AAATAAATATAATATAAAATAAAAATGGAAAATGAGAAAAAAATAAAGGGCAAAATCAAAAGCAAAATCTAAAAGATTAGAAAAAAAAAAATTTTTTTTTGCTTCTTACCAATCAGTTCTTATTGAAATAGTTAAAAAAAAATAACCGTTCTATAAACAAAAATACCATTATACATATAATACAGATAAAATATTTTTAGTTCTAACCAGACCCAACACACACAAATTCTAATATAAATGTATACGAAGCAAGATACTAAACATAAAACGAAAAAATTCTTAAACTTCAATATTCAAATTCAATTAAAATTTAAAAATTTTAAGAGAAATGAAAATATTTAACATTTTATTCTCTGTCTCTCATTTTTACCTTCCTATCATTGAAAAACTTCTTCTCAGTTCTCATAAAAAAAAAATATTATTCTCATTCTCACCACACTATTGAAAATCTCATATAATATCAAATATGCTGAAAAATTAACACTTATACATTTTTAAATAAAATAATAAAGAAGAAAAAAAATACTCATTTCTAATCATATGAGAAATTTACCTGGATTTTTTTTCAGTTACCTTTACCTACATAATTACATACTGTGTTAAAAAATTAAAAAAGAATAAAAAACACAAAAAGAAAAAATTCAAGTTCAAAGAGAATAAAAAAAGAATAGAAAAATGATCAGAAAATAATTTTCCGTTTAACATTTTAGCTCGTAGTTAATTCTCTCTCTCTCTCTCTTTCTAATATATCAAAAAGAAATCGAATATTAACACTATTGAATGTGAATGTGTTTAGAGATTAATTACAAATACAATTAAAAAAATAGCTGTAAATGACCAATACAAGTTTTCATTGCCAACAACCGGTGATTTTTGCTTTGTTTTTTTATTATTTTTATTATTTTTTTTTGCTGTTGTATGTATAGTTATTCGTTAACGTTATTTTAAATGCAGAATGAAAAAGAAGCAAGAGGAATTTTTCTATGAGAATTCTAAGCTAGAAAACAGAAGTAAAGAAGCAAAAATTGTAAGTGTAGAATTCAATCGCATCACAGGCGACGTCATTTACCTGTTCATATTTTTAAAATTTGTTTTCTTTTTTATTTTATCCATTATATACTGATGTAATTTTTTACCTGTCTACCTTGCGCATTGCTGCCGCTGAATTCAGTAAATTATGAGTATGTATTTTGTAATTTTTTTTTTTCATTTGTCCTTTTGTGCTGTAATGTTGCATTTTGATTTTGTTGTTCATTTTTTTTTTTCGTGTAAATCATGCTGATTACATTTTTTTCATGCGGAGAATTATCTTTTGTAAATGTTTATATTATGTGTTATGATAAAAGCAGAGTAATGTTATGCACAGTAAAAGCAAAATATTATATTTTTTATTTTTGGTTTGAAATATAGGAAGATTTTGGTTCCGATTTTAATTAAAAAATAAAAATTGAAATAATTTTGAAAAATAAATTTAAAAAAATAAGATCCGACGTGTTTTACAACAATTTAGAATATGTAAAGTCTACTTAACACTTGTCACAATGAATGAGATTTAGTAATATGGGGATTACGTAATATGACATAATGACATATGATTATGGCATAAGAGAATACTATAAAATAATAGTCATAATACATGTTTTTTTTTTCTAAATTACTTTGATTTATATTAAATAAAAATATTCAATACGCCTAAATATATGCAATTTTCCAAAAAAATTATAAAAACAATCAGAACAAAAAAATCTGCTTCGATGTTGAATCGAATATCATATTACATGATAATCAATTGGGTACAGCAAATGTCAAATCCCATAATTGCGATGAAAATACTTTTGCTATTTCTGTAATGCATGTATGTAAAATTTTCCTAAGTTCATCTGTATAAGCAAAACAAAACCTAAATGTGTATCTACTTATGTATAATATATTTACATAATTATATAAAAATATTTAAATTCAGCTAAATTTCAACAAAACCATCACTAAACTATACGAATTTCAAACATTGAAAATTAAAATTCTCAAAAACTAGAAGAGGAAAATGTTATTAATAACATTAATGTAAAAGCTCACTACGATTGTTATTTTACCGCAAGAACACATACTTTAATAAAAATGCAGGTAAAAATATCTATTCGAAAAAAAAAATATGAGTATATTAACGACAAAAAGCAACAAATGTTTTAAATGTTACGAGTACAACCACAAATACGATTATGAGAATAAAACTTGTACCTACTAATACATAAAATAATTCTTAAAAAGAGAGAAAAATTATTTTTAAATTTCTCAAATTTCATATAAAATTCAAAATATTAATATACACGATCGTTCGGAACTGATCAGCTCATAAATTTTAACAAAAATTTTTACCTGTGCAAATCTCTTTAACATAGCAATGTTAAAAAAATAACATTATTTTCTTTTTCTTTTGTTCATTTTTTATTTTATTATAAATGTAACAGTAAAAAATAATGAAAAAACAAGGAATTGAGAAAGAGCAAAGCAATATTATAAAGTTATAGAGTAAAATGAGAATCAAATCAGAAAATATTTCATAAGGAAGAGAAGAGAAAAATTTAAGAAAAATTAAAGAAAACAAAAATTATAGCTTTTTTCACCTTCTCTGTTATGTTATTTCAGTTTACTGTTGTTAAAGCAATGACGAACAGGAAAAATAGCAAAATAAAAACAAAAATAAAGTTAAAAAAGTTCAGTTATCGTGTTTTTATACAAAAATATTAATGTTTGTGTATGTGTAAGTACACAAGATCAAAGTTAATAATAAAACAAAATTTACCTGGTAAGGAGGCAGGTATATAAATTTTAACGTTGTTCTTTTTATATATTTTTTTTTCTGTTTGTTATTCTCATGTTCTTTCTGTTCTTATTTTTCTGTTTTAAGAATATACGGTTCTCGACGTAATATATGTACTGTTCGGAATTCTATTTTATTTTTATTTCTTGTGTTAGGTTTTTTTTTTTTGCTTTTTATACGAGAAATATTAAAATTATGTTAGTAGTAGTACCTACATAGGTATAAAGTATAAAAATGTTATTTTTTTTTAACTTAGTATAAAAAAATATTTTTATATTATACATAAATATGATGACTACCGTTTGTTTTTGTATTTGTTGTGTTACTATTGCTATAGTACTGCTATTAATATTTCGTTTTTGTTGTTGTTACTGTTGTAACAGTATTAGTTATTGATATTATATTGTATATTTAACTTATCTCTAGTTTTTAGTAATTTTATTATAACATAGTTAATATTGGTGAGTAAAGACTGTGTATAAAAAAATAATAAAGGTATATATAAAAAAAAATAAAACGAAAACTTAAAAAAAATTAAACGGTATGATAGCGCAAAAGCGTAATAATAAAAAAAAATAAATTCTCATTTTTTAATATTATTTCTGTTGTTTCGATCTACAGTTGTATCATCGATGTCGTTGTAGTACAGTTTTATTGTATATAGAGACTGCTTTTTCTATATATCTGTTTTTTTTTTTTTTGTTAACATGATCAGCATTTAAACAGCTATAAAGCCGAGATCGATTTTTTTTTTTTGCTATTTTGTATATATTACACTTTTATATTGTATATATTTATATATATATTTTTGAAAATAATGTGTTGAAAAATTCTTAAAACTCTTCAGTATAGTAAGAGGCAATCCATCGTTGAGGATACACGCGCATTCAATATTATTACGGATTATTTGTTGAAAAAACAAAAAAAAACTATTTTAATTATATTAAGAAGAAAAACACAAAAAAATAATAAGAAAATAAAAAAATTAAACTGAATTTATTTCATATACCTACATATTTATATATATATAAAAAATATTACGGTTCGTTAGCGGGTTTTTGGAATAAATTTTCAAATAAAATATTTTAATATACTCGTATATATATAAATATAATATTAAAAAAATATTTATTATTTATATTTAAAAATAATATTTGTAAAATTAAATTGTGTGTTTATTTTTTTTTCTCTTATATTCTAATATTTTAAATAATTCTCATTTATTTGTGATTCTATATAAATGTGGCCTTTGATATTATTATACACATGTACAAAATACTTAAAAATAAGAGTTTTATAAATTTCAAAGTATTGAAATAATTGGAAAAAAATTCTAAAATTTCTGAGATTCTATATTCAATCAAATAAAATATTGAGTAAAATTTTCATAGATAAAAAATTATCAAAAGAATATTGGAAGGAAAAAAAAATTTTTTTTGAAAAATTATTTTTAGAATTTTAAGAATTGTGAAAAAATAAGAAAAGCAAAAATATAATTTTTTATTTTCATTTGTAAAAATGGAAAAAGTGTTAAATTTTAAAAGAATTTTTAAAAAATATTTCATGAAATTCGAAGAAATTCTGAAATAGTAAAGAAAAATATTTTTATAAAGTGTGAGAAAAAAAATTGAATAAAAGAAAAAAATTAACAATAACAATTAATTACAAATAACGGAAAAACAAAATTAATTAGAATTTCAAAAAGGATTATAATATTAAAATAAAAAATAATTTTTTAAAATGATTTCTGAAAAATATATGAAACTTGGGATAATTAACAATAAATGAATGAAAAAGTGAAAAATATAAATAAGAAAATTTTGTGTTTTAAATTGAAATTATTTATTTTAATTAGATTTCACATATTTTACAACAAAGGATTACAATTTATAAACTTAATTATAATTTTGCAAAATATAATTTTTAATTCTCGAAAAATACAAGGTAGCATAAAATTTAATTATAATTCCAAATTAAATAGTGAAGTACAATTAATTCAAATGAAAATATTCAAATAAATTAAGTGTTCAAACAAATCAAATGCAATTAAAAAATTTAAATAATCATAAAGTGAAATATTAAAATTAAAATAGAAAATTAAAAAAAAAATTATTAAAATAAAAAACTCTCTCATATCAACGAAAGACCGAACATACAAATATAAATAAAAAATTTAAGAATGAGGAAAGCAATTCATATAAAAACTGGAAATATTACACCAATTATTTAAAGGATTATTTAAAAAAAAAAATTAAAAAATCTCGATCAAAAATTTTACTACTGAAACAAATTCACTTTAATTCGGACAAAACTAATAAAAGAATTTTAATAAAATATTTTCGAAAATCTTTTCTTTGATTTTGACCATATGACAATCAATATTCTATACATTTTATGATTTTACAAAAAAAAAAAAAAGAGAAAAACAAAATTAATTCAAAATGCCGAAAATATTTTTAATTAAAAATCGTTTACATCAACAACAATTACGTTTATTAGAACAACAAAATAATTTATTAAATAAAGATTCAGATGCAAATCGTTTAGTACCACCATTAAGTCCAACACATGATCATCATAATATTGATGAAGATGATTTACATAATGATCGACATCATTCAAATCGTCATCATAATAATAATAATAATAATCGTTCACCATCACATCATTTTCAAAATAATAGCAATAATAATTATCAAAGACATCAAGAACAACAACAACAACAACAACAACAGCAAGAAAATAATCATTTAAATTTAGATTTAACATCAAATCGTTATAATACAGATCATCATCATCATCATCAACATCATCATCGTTATATTAATGATCATTATAATGATAATATTGATAAAAATCCATTTAATCAACAACATTTTAATGATAATAATAGTAATAATAAAGATTTATTACAACAAGAAAAACAATATTTACAACAAAATGAAGAACAATTGTTACAAAAACAGCAACAACAGCAACAACAACAACAGGAGAGAGATAATAAAGAACATCAAATACAGCAACAAAAACAACAGCATGATCAACATCATCAACAACATCATAATGAACAAAAACATGATAAAATTGAATTAAATCATAATGATATTGATGATAATTTAGAAAAATTTGAAAATTTAAATACAAATGATAATAATGATAATGAAAAACATCATGATAATAATATTGTACATGATGATGATTGTGAAGATGATCAACCATTATCATTGGTATCAAAAAATAAAAGGAATTCTGATGAAAAGGATTTCGATGATAAAGGTAAGTTGAACGTTAAGCAATGATTAATAAATTTTTATTAATTTTATTTTATAAAAATATAATGTTAAAATATCTCACTCTTTGGAATTACTGAGAGTTCTCTCCAGTTTTTAAAAGAAATTTCATCAGCAACTGATCAGTTTAATCACAATAATTTAACCAAATTTCCATCAAATTTCATAATTTATTTATAAGGTGAGAAATTTGTTCTAATAATAAATTCCAGAGGATTTAATTATAAATTAAAACTCGTGGAGTAAAATGAAAAATTTAATTTTATATGATCCTTACTTGCTCTATTATTTTACTGTAATTTCTTTCTGCTGATTGATTTTAATTAATTAAAAATTGTAATATTGAAAATTGCGAAAATTTATTTCTAGACCTACAATGCGTTTTTTTAATATCACCAAACAACTGCTTAAAAATATTGCTTCAATATTGGCCTCAGTCACTTTAATTTTTAATGATTTTTAAAGTAAATCTCAAAATTTCAATTTACTCCCTTTTTAGATTTTCTCACTTAGATGGCATATAATAATTACAACGATTGAAATTCTACTTAACTTTATTTTTTTGAAATATCCTGAAAAATTCATTAATTTTTAATTGAAACCTGATTTACAAATAAAAACAAAACTGTTGTTCTAAAGAGATTGGAATGACTTTCTAATAGAAAATTTATTTTCTAAGAATTCGAAAATTTATAAGATCGTAATAATTTTCAAATGTTTTCGGAAACAAAAAAAAAATGTGTGAATTTAGAAATTTTTTCATATATTTTTTTTATTTAAATTCCATTCCATTCCAAAAACGATTTGTTATACAAAATTTTTGTTGAAATATTCATTTATAACATTATGTAGTATAAGGACCCAAAATATATTTATGACTAGAAATTTCACACTTCCTTCAATGAAACTAATTTACATATTTAAAAAATATTGATTTCACTTTGTCGCCAGTCAAAACAAATTATAAGATTTTCGAATACAAAATATTTTAGAGGATCAAATACTTTAGAACATAATGAGTGTGAAAATAGAAAACAAAATATGAAAATATTTTAGGAATTGTTTTTTTTTTTTGAAATTTAAAACAACTTGATACCAAAAAATTTGCTTCATTTTTGCATAATTAAAATTTAAAGGAATCAATAGACTACAAGTTGACCTTTAAATATTTTAAATTTAAAAGAGTATGTATAGACTCCCTTGTCTCGTTTTTTGTACATAGACTTGCTTGTCTTTAACATAACTACTGATTTGGAAATTTATGCATAAATTTGTATAAGTCAAAAAAATACAACTGATATGTAAAAAATACAACTGATTCGTCGAAATAATTTTTTAAGAAATTTTAAATATTTTATAGAATAAAGTAGAAAAATCAGAATTCTACCTATTCACGGCAATTTTAGCATATTAAAAAGGTGAACGGAGATTTTTTAGACCCGTTAATCACAAAATGCCGAGACATTTTATATATACCGGTTACTCAATACAATATTTTTAACCTTAATATTACACTCTTCATTCTTTTTGAAAAAAAAAAAAAATTAATCATAATTTTATTTTAAATCCTTGCGAATTTTACAAAATTATAAAAAATAAACTAGAAAGAAAAACTTGATATTTTTTTTATTAAATTTTTTACAATTGTCTGCGCATATATCCTTAAGGATAAAATTTTGTTTAAATCCGGATTTTTTTTCGAAATCCTCGATTTTTTTTTTATTTAATTGAAAATAATTATTTTTTTTTCTATAGTCATGCTCATGTCCTTTTTCATATATTTTTGTATTATTTTGCAAATATCTTATTTTGTCGTCTTCAAATCCTTGATATTTGACCTTCTTTTATTACCAGACATAGCGCAAAAAATTTTTAAGACTATTTTTCTTGTTTCTCATAACAACAAGACAAAAAAAAATAATAATAATAAAAATTTTATCCTTCTGAAATACTTGTTTATTTCTTTTTGTTAAAAATGTCCTTATTGTTCCTAATAGTTTCTCAGTTTTTCAGTTTATTTTTTTTTAATTTTTGTAAATTTCGAATTGAACACGGTTTTCTGTTTTTTTTTAATGTTAATTTTAATGTTATTGACGAACAGGTTTCAATTTATAATAAAAAAAATTTTTTTATTTTTGCAATAAATAATTTTTCTTTTACTTGTTTTTCTACTCTCCTCCCGTTTTTTTCTCAAGGATAAAGATTTGCTGTTATTTATATACGGTTTTTATTTAATAATTTTAATTTTTATAAGACGTTAACTTTGATTTGAAAATTTTCCTTCGCATTAATGATTATCCTGTTTTCATGGGAAATTAATTATTATTATTCACTTATTACACATATGCATACACGTCATGAACAATAATTTATTACATGATGTACGTTTAGTTGAAAGATAGAAAAATATAGGAAAAAAAATAAAGGATTCTACGAGCATATGTGTAGTTCAAATTTATATAAAAGAAAATTAAAATATAACTGGATTAGCTTTTGAATTGTAATTGAGAAAAGGATATAAGATCATTTAGATGAAGAAGACGGTGATGAAATGAAATCTTAAATATAATTTTATTTTATATAGCGATCTTTACTGTTAATTACATTTTTCTCGGTAATTCAATGATGATTTTGTCATTTTATACACATTCAAAATATACAAAATAATTCGATTATTTTAAAATTTTAACAGCTCCAAGGAAAAATACGTTTAGTTAAATAATTGTTATAGGTGCATTTAATAACGTTGAAAAAATGTTTAACTGTTCTGTGCAGATTTTTCTGCCTTTAAGCCAAAAATTTACTTATTGTAACGAAATTATTAGCTGTCTTAAGAGTTAATATCTACCCTAATTTTACGAGTACTTTGTTATGTTTTTGATGAAAAAATTAGAATATCTTATAAAATATTCCATAAAATCTTTTGAAAATGCTGTGAAAATTAATTAATTGTGAGTTATTGCTATTTTTACTACAATTGAGTAATGAATTGTTATTTTTTTTGTAAAAAACATCAAAATACTTGAATACTAATTATAAATTGCCTATTAAAATCTGTATTAATTGAATCTTCGAATATAGCCTTAATCTGTAGCGTTCCAAATTTATGCACTAGAATTTCTAAGAAAACTTCGTTCAATTAAGCAATCACTCTCATATAAAATCTAAATTTTGGATATCATTTACAAAATCTAAGAAAAAATTGCAGATTTCAATTTCTAAGAAAATTGTTATATTTAAATAGAAAAATAATTTGTGAACTTATTCTAATAATCTATTGCATAAATAATTTTTTAAAACAAAACACATACACATATAAAATAATGGTAAACTCTATACAAGTATATGCAATTATATTTGAAATTATTAAAGTAATTTCCAATTATTTTATTTTTATTTAATTTTTCTATTCAAATGTCATAATGATGAAAAATATGAACATATTTTTAAATTGCGAACAGAATATTAAAATGTCAAAATTTATAATATTTCCTCTCATATTAAAAATAATATATGAATCACATAATATGTTAGTGAATGAATAATATATAATGCACATATATACGTGCAAACATATTATATATTACTCGTATGTACACTGTACCTCTGTTTAACAATTTTAATATTTTTACTTTTCTAGATTTACATACATGAAATATAAATGGTTCTGCAAGGCAATTTAACATTCAAACTCTTTTAATACTGTTGTAAAAATTTTTCTTCGGAAAATTAACTTTGAACATTTTTTTTTTTAATTAGCGTAATTTATTTGGAAAACTTGTGACTTAAATTAGTATTGCTTTTAATTATTCTTATTTTAAATTCAATTAATATGTCTTAAGAATTTTTTGTTAAAACGCCATCTATGAAAGAATTTTTTTCATTTTACAAGACGGTATTATTTTTAATGTATTATTTTTGAAAATAAAATATAGAACTTTATAGAAATTTTATATCGGTATTATAGAAATAGAATAACCAACATATAGAATTTAAATTTAGTGTGTTGCAAGATGCAATTAATTTTAGAAGTTTTAAATTACATTTTTGGTATTAAAATTTAATTTAAATTAATGAAGATTTGCAAAATTTTAAATTATTTAATTATTAGTATAAAAATACATAAAATAAAATGGAAAAATTTAACACTCCTGTAATAAAATGCCCGTAATTTATTTTCAACTTTAAATCATTAAAAAAAAATTTATTACACTTCATAAATTTTATACAGAATAAAATTTTGAATCCCAATAACTATTAAGATCTTCTATGACTGTATAGTTTATTATGTAGGAGTTTATAATTTAAACAGTAAAATTCTGGATTCTCTTACAAGCATACTTATGAAAAATCTGTCTGAGCATACATGTTTACAAAAAACTGACCTTATGGCTGAGGGGGATGCCCATAATATAAGATTTTTGGTATTTTTATATATAATATCATATTTACGATAAGCTTCCCATTCTAATTTATATATAGCTCATAATATCTCAAATTTTGTACATTTACGCTACTTTTCAGGTCTGTTACCGCGAAAGAATCATTAAATTCTAGTATAAAAAAATAATTTCAATGATTTTCTTTAAATTTATTTAATTCGAATCCAAAATTTTCTTATTTCTAATGTAGAAATTGTTTTTGTTCCACATAGTGCAGTCGATTTTAAAAATTTTATCGTTAATAGTAATTTGAAATAAAATTGAAATTTCTGTATTAAACGCCTTTGATATTTGAACATTTAACAATATTGTTACGTATAATAAGAAAAGATACGTTTCCTTATTATAATACTTAAAACGGCAACTTCTTGAATATTAAATCGACAAATTATATATTATTTTTTTGCAAGTATAATTGTTCTGTACTATATGTGATTGGTTCTGTATTAGGTGATAATACTATAAAATATTGTTAGATGAATAATTTTTCCTCATTTATTTTATTAATTTGTCTCTTTATTATTATTACATCTAAATTTATGTT